TCCCAGAGCCATTTTCCTCTGCTCAGATCCGCGCAGCGCTCCACTGTGGCGCGCGTCTTTGCTTGGATCCGCATGAACCAAATGCCATTGCGCACTGATTAGGTGCATATAACAATCCACACATTTGTGAGAGACTTTTGAGTTTGACATCTTGCACGTTATTTAATAACACAAACTAGCCCTAACATAACTTCAAAATTGCATATTTGTAATGTGAGAGGTGTGCCTATGATAATGCCAGAGTGGGAATATGTTTATTGTTGTCCAAATCTTGAATTGCATGAAAGTTATTTGCGTGTTGAGATGAAGGTTGAGATGGGTGTAAAATGTACACCACCTCAGAGTCGGCGTATATTCTGTGTGTACCGTACGCTCACTTCAGATTGATAAATGCCGAAAAGTGTAAATTTTTTGCGTACGCCTCATTTACAACCTGATGAGGGCCATAAAAAACTGTCTGTGTGTGTGAGCTTATTTCTATTTTTTTTCAACTGTGAATAGAATGGCCATACACAATAATATACATCTGTGGTGGCTTCAGCCATCTTGTACGGTGTGGTCTGCTGGAGCAGCAGCATCACAGAGAGGGACAGGAAGAAGCTGGACATGGTCAAAAGGAAGTCCAGCTCTGTCCTGGGCTGTTCCCTGGACACAGTGCAGCAGGTGGGGGACAGGAGGGTCCTGGACAAACTAACATCTACAGTATGCTTGACCATGACTGTCCCCCCCTGCAGGACACTCAGGCCGCTCTGCAGCTTCAGTTGCCGACTGATCCACCCTTGCTACAGTATGTGAAGGAGAGGTTCTGCCCGTCTTTGCTTGCTGCTTCTGTCAGACTGTACAATGAACAATGAAGACTAATGAACACTGCCCACCTGACTACATGTACCCACATGTACGTTTAGTCAAGTAATCTGTAGTAAACAAATGTAGTATACATGTACATAAGCAGTTTGTAATATAATGATTATGTTTGTCCAACACAAAAAGATGCTTCAGTTTAGTAGCAAAGTAAAAGAGGCCATAGAAGAAATATTAACATTGAATGAATCCCCTTGTGTTAAGTATTATTATTATCAGTCTTGAGTCACTTTGAATGAATACATTGCAGAATTTTGGCTCTAAATAGATCGGGTCTTTGGATGATGTCCTTACATTTATTAGTACCATGCGTTTCAGTGAAGAATAAATCACATGCTTAATTTGTGCAGACAAATGAGTTTTATGTGCTCTTTACTGAGCGTTATCATACTGATGACCATCACATCTTAACACAGTGGTTAATCAAAAGAATACAACTCGTGATGGGACGAAGGCCACAGATGAAGCCTCAGGCTCAATTAGACACAACACGCTGAAGTGCTTTCTCATAAACATAGTTTAGACTCTGTGTAATGTTGGCTTTACATTGCTGTGCGAGCAGCTGCGACATGAGCAGTGCAAAGGCCATATCAGCCACATAAAAAGGTTTATATAAGTAGGTATAAATATATATTTAATAATAAGGTAAAATACAATATCTATTACTTGTTTACATTAATATGAATTCAATGTAGATAATTTCTTATTTTTAACAATAAATGGATAGGCCTGGAGCCTGCCTGGCAGACTGTGCAGTCTACCATAGACAATTGTGAGTACTTATTGTGACACAAAGCAATGAGAAATAATTTAGCATGTCTTTTTACAAGCTTGTTCACTACACTCATCATGTTATAATTAATTACAAAAACTACCTATCAAAGTATATTTATCTTACAAAATCTAATCTTTCATTTTGCCCTCGGTGTTCTTGAGCAATCTGTCATAGAATATAATATTTATAGTTTAATCCAAAACACAGATCTCACCAGGGCTCGATCTCAGGTCATCGCAGCACAAGTGCTGCATCTTAACCACTAGACCACTATTACATACTGTATAATGAGCAATTGTCCCCAGGCAGGGTTTTCAACTGTTAATAAAGAACGTGGCAAGTTTTGCATCAGACATAAAGTTTTTATCCGCCAACTCGTCACTAGCTGTTGTAGCCTGTACAAGTCGACCGCTTGTGTCAAATCAGTCGGCCCTCGGGGGCACCCCTGCCGGTTTGGGGGCCCCCAGGCAGCTGCCTGCCTTGCCTAATGGCAAGGGAGGTTTCTGATTATGATACAATTTCCTCTCCACATTGACTGCAGATGCCTCCTCCTTAACGCAGTTCTAAAATACTTGTCTCACGTACACACGGGCCAACTTGCATTGGAACACGGGTCCAAAAACGTGGGTCTGCAGTATGAAAGTTTACCCCAATATTGTCTGCTCTTTCAAGGAGGTGCTGCATAAAGTAGGCTTGACTAGATATTGTGTATTACACATGGTTACAACTATAGTTAAAAACAATCGTCCACTACAAATATTACTGGTCTTTGAATGAAATATGATGCTTAAGAGAGCAGCAGCAGGAATCAATGAACGAAAATGAGCCATCTATTTTTAATGGCACCTGTGTTAAACTTGTAATCTTGCAAACCATTGTTTGATGATTTATCAAGTCTGACAATGATCCACATATAACTTTTAATCTACAAATTCTTTTGACCCATATAAAACATGTATTACATGCAAATATGACATAACAATTAAAGTGTTGACACAGGACATACATATTTATCGATCATCCTCTACTGTCTAACATTTGGCCAAACTCCATTCAGTGAAGGATATAGCATATCAGTGAGCAGGTTGTTCACACACATCCTTGAGTCATCCCATAGATAACCACAGGCATTTTACGGCATTTATTCTTTCTCAAGGCAAAGCAGCAGCGATTGACAGCCAAGCTTAAAATAACTATTGGTGTAACTGTATAATGAATGTTTATTATGAAAGCAAAATGTTTATCCTGCAGGGCAGGAAAGTGCATGTGCTTGCCAAACAGTAAATAGTACACAATATATTCAACAACTCCTTAAAATGTATATGTATATATAGAATATTCCACCAAAGGTTAAAATAAGCGAAATACCACTCTGTTTTGTTTAACTTTATGTAACTGCTCAAAGTTTGTTGATTTTTACATTAAAAAAATGTTACGTTTAATTTTTCACCATTCAATTCCTACAATACATCCACCTGAAGGAGACACTTTGTTGAGAGCTCAAATAAAAGACAATATTTACAAATCAGTGCAAAATTACAATTACATTTGTTATGTAAACAATGATACAGTTCTCAGTAACAATGATTAGAAACAAATAAAAACCCTCTTTTACTATTCAAAAACATTCATTTATTCTTGTTTATGAGGTTCCCCATTCGCTGAAAGAATTTTCCGATCTTGTTCTCCTGGTTCCCATGAGCTGCTTGGTGATGTCCAGCAGATGATACATTTTTAGCAGGACCTTTTTCCTGAGCCTGTCTGCTGTCATACACAGAAGCTGAATGCTCTGGCTGTATTTTCACATAGGACGGTTCATATCTACTGTACTTTTTCTGCTCAACACTGTATTCCTTCCTCAAGCTTCCTGTCTCATAACAAACCTTTGAGCTTCTGTTAGTAGAATTGAGTTGTCTCTGAGAGTCATACCTGGCATTACTGGAGTGTGGATAGCACCGGTTCTCCTCAGTTGTGAATCGCGGCTTTGAAGTTGCAAGCGGGTCTTTGATTTGCAGTGCCCTGCCTGTGCTTTGGTTCCTTTCTTGATGTAATCGCCTTTCGTTTTCCCGTGTTAACGTGTTGGTGCTTCCTCCTGATTCAATAGAATCCCTTCCCAAGGCCTCAGACATGTCATCTTTCTTGTCTTGTAGGTTCAAAAAAGATTTGATCTTTTTGGAGCTCTTCTTGAAAAATGGCTGCTTATTCTGAACGCTTCCTTTGTCGTTTAAATTCTCTGTGTTGACATCAAGAGTTACTGCAGACGCCGCTCTTGATGGTGTCTCGTGCCACATAGGATTGTCTGGACTCTTGTTGGCTGTTATGTTTTTGACATCATAATGAGACACTGATCTTTGATCCTCATTCAGCGCTGACAAGTATCCTCCGTTGGGTGCATTAATCCCGATCGAGCCTCTGTGAACATGCATTCTGGCAAGAGGTGCATACAACTGCTCCTCGTGGGTGTAATGACTGTTTAAGCGGGGGTCGGCTACACTGTGGCGCTTGTGCCAGTTATCTGTGAACATGTCTGGATTGGTCAATATTTGTCCTCCTTTTGATCTACCCAGGGATGCATAATGAGGGTAGTAAGGGCTTTGGGCGGAAGTAACATTTTCATTGTCATCTAACATCTGGAGGCTTTGTTGTCTATAGGAAAAGTCTTCTTTTCCCATCCTGCCAGCGGCTGTTGGGCTCCATTGCATTGAAGAGTAGTGCATAGGTGGGTTTGGTGATAAGCGTCCAAGACCAAATGAAGAGTTGTCCAGCTCTGCTTGTTCCGGAATAGTTGACCTCAAGACAAGAGAGGTTCTCATTCTCCCTTGCATGAAGGTGTTGACTTTTCCTGCCGGGTCAAGCTGGTCTATGTAATCACAGGACTCTCGGAAGGGAGAGTCAGTGTTATTGAGGTAAGATTCAATTCTCCATGTGCGCATAAAGGCCTTGGTGCTCTCTTGGTTTGGCGTTGCTGGCTGCAAATGGTTCAGCGTCTCCCTACTGTTGTATGTTTGGAGATTGGGTTGACCTCTTTTTTGTGTAACTGGCAGGAAATTGTCTATTACAGCGTTTTTCCCATAATCACCAGATATATTCCAGTTACTTCCCCTGGGCAGTAGGTGTGGAGGAATGTATGCATCATGTCTTTCACCTGCGTAGCTGTGTCGTTTTTTAAAGTTAATTCCTGAGGACATATGGGAACTAATACCATTCTCAAACAATGGTTCAATATATTCCTCTTGCAAGTCTGTCATACCCATGTTCCTTTCACAGTTCTTTCTGTACACTCCTTCCATTGTGTGTCTTAAATTGCCACCCCGCTCCAGCTTGGGGGCAAGATTTGGCACAGGTTTGGGTATAATAGGTCTACCTTGTAGTCCATCGGGGGAGGTTGAAGGGGTGAGTTGAGCTGGAACAGTTGACCTTGCGTAAAGAGTTCGAAATTCTTCGTCATAAGATTTCACTAAATGTCCCGTTATCATCTGCACCATACTGAGATGGATCTTTTCGAAGGACCAGGCGAAGCTGCCAACAAAATACACACACATTTAAGGCAAAGCGTTTTCGTCTGTCAAAGCCCATCAATGTTTGCCGTCTGTACACTGTACCTGTAGGAGCCATAGAAAGCTGTGCAACAGTCGAATAACAGAAACCTCTGCTCCATTGCACCATGAAATTTTGCTCCTGATTGACAGAGGTAATCCTGACCTTTAACTGTGCGCACTCTCATATTCTGCAGAGAGACGAGAACAGCACAAACCATCACTGTCACAATGTACATGAAAGCCATAATCACTGAGAAGCTATAGGTGTCATTTTGATGTTACGCAAAATAATCTTAGTGCAGGTGAATTGTTGAGCCAGGCAAAAGCAACATATAATAATCCAAGCAGTACATACGACGAACCAGGCAATGGAATGATACATAACATGAGAATCGTTGGTGTTTGAGTAAGTAAACACTGTAATTTAAACAATACGTGTACATTTATCCAAATCTATTGCACATACATACCCTGAGCAGTTTGATCCTTACATCTTGATTTTCAGCCATCGTGAGGAAACTCTTTAAATTGAAGTGATCCAAGAGTACATAGACAGCCACACCACGTAATGAAGCCTCAACAATTTCTTTAAAAATGTCAACATCTGTGAACTTATCCATGACAACAGCAATGACCTGCAACGACAAAAGTGGTATAAATCTTGGCCACTGGGGAATGCAGGAGTCAGGACTACAGCTCTTGTGAGTGCATTTTATATTTGTCATTCATGTTAACAACAATTATACTTTTGTTGCTGCTTCTTAAATACTTCTAAGAAAACAAACATCCAGAGAGGAAAATTACTGTCAACTGCAATGCTTGGCAATTCTTTTCAAAGTAGAAGAAAAAGATTTACTAAGTGCAGCCACTCTCCTATAATTAGTTTTGACAAGCTGAGATATGGATATATTTGGTTGAGAATGACTTACTTTGCACTTGTTTTGCAGCAATTAGAGGGAAGGCAGGTCTGATATTTTTCTATGATTTATAAAACACAAGAGGAGCTAAAATTGTTGGTGCACCTGACAATCCATTGCGACCTGAAGTTCTCAATATTAGGCGTCAACCGAGTGAAGAAAACTGCAATATATTTAACAAGCAAGTGTATATGGCTTTTGCATTGTCTGCAAGTTGCAAAACCAGATTTTAACCTTGTTCTAGTTCATCGGATGACACAGAGTGAAATGCCTGGAGGGAATGGGCAGAGAGAAAAAGCATACTCCCTTAATTTGAACACTTGTGGGAGCCAAGCTGTAGGCCGAAGAAAATCCTTGAGCCAATTTGCAGAACAAATCCCATTCATATAAGGGCGAATACTGCTTTTATTACCTGCTTGGCATCCTGAATTTGCTTGCGGATTACTTCTTTGATTGTAGGGTTGTTCAGTCGAGGTGGGTGAAACAACAGATCTATATTTGTTTGATTTTTATGTCTGACATCTGGCCATCCTAAATCCAAATCTGGAGCGTCCACGTCGGAGTGCAAGGGCCAGTAAGTCCCTGAGGAAGACTGGCCTTCGGTGTCATTTTTAGCATTGATTTCTTCTGTTTGGGAAGGAGGTTTGAGTAGTTCTGCATGTGTCGGGATAAAAGCAAGCTCCTCTTCTGAAAGGAAAGTTCCAACGCGTTCACCTCTGAGAAACTCCCGGTAAGTTCCTGGACCACCGCTCAATAGGTGATCAATGGCCAGCCGATATACCTCCTTGTAGTGGGGCTGAATATAGCCATCAGTTTTGAAGTCTCCTCTCAGTGAAGACAGAAAGGAGTAGTCCGAAGAATCCATTAGTGCCCCCTTCTTTCAGTCAGGCCTGTCATAGATAATGGAAATCAATGATGATGTTGTCAAGTAAGAAGAGCACAAAACAAACAGTTACTGTCACATGCATAAAGACAGCGCTTCTAGTTAAACAAGGGAGAGTAAATGCAAGTAAAGCCGTGAGATGTCAATGTTGTTTGTGCTATAGGCTACAATTCATTTCATACTCGACTTTATATTATTTCTTTGATTTTTTTGTAATATATATTCAATTAAATGCAGTTACAGTGTTTAAGTACTGCCCTCATCTTTCCATAGAGGTTACTTGCCACTCTGAAAGTTGGAGAGACTGCTGGTAAAAGGAACATTCTTCTGTAAACTGCTTCTATGCAATGATCATGTTCTTCCTCACACTGGCAAAGTGCAATATCACATTGGAAATAAGCAAGACTTTAACCTGTATAGGACAGTCTGCCGTTTATAACAATTTTAGTAAAACAATTCAAATCGTTAAGTTATTTCTATTAGAAAATTTTTAACAATGAAATTCCAAATCCAAGATAGAAAATTAAGATTACACTCTAAGAATTTACATATTTTCACAATTTGATTTTTTATTTAATTAGTAATAATGGTTTTAGTATTAAACTTACAAAGAATGAACATGATTAAAGAGAAAAGTTGCTACATGTTCTCAACATAAAATATCGAGAGCTTTTTTTTTTGACTCATAGCTCATATCGTTGCATTTAATTAAACGCACTGGAAAATATGACGTCAGATACAACTTGTCAGATCATGAACTGTGCTCATGAATAATGGACACTTTAACAGTTTTGTGCAAGAGGAAATACAGTCAACAGGTCAAATGGGTCAAAAGTCATGTCTCCTCCAGCTATTTGACACACAGTATGTGGTGTTTTTGTAGTATTAACAACCAGGTGTTTGCTGACAACACATTCCCCATAGATTCAGTGAGGTATTATTATGAGATGCAACAATGCACAGGTTATAAATCCTCCTGTAATTTGTCTGTCATATCAGTCTCAAGAACAACATGCCTATCAGACCAGTGCTCTGACGTAAACAGATGTTACATTTTAGCCCTTTCTCGTGTGCTGCAACTAACAAGCTAGACAAGAGGTAGAGATAGACAAGACTAACAGATCCGCTTGTTTTAAACACATTGGTTGCAAAGGTGTAGCTTGTCACAACAATTTATATGTGGAGCATGTCTGCCTCTCAGGTTTCAGTTGCTAGTGACATCGTAACATGTGAAACTGGCACAGCTCGCTCTATGTCATCCTCATGAGAACCAAACATGTAAACCTACACATATCTATGTATTTATAACATATGGCACTCCCCATGTCACCTGTTAAAGCATTAATACATGTAATCTACCTGGTCTCTTACTCAGGTGCTTAGAGATTTTAAATCATTTCAACCTGACATCAGCATCAAAAAAGCCCATCGTTATAGAGCAGTGGCAACTTACATTTAGATTTTGAACTTTTTCAAACTCCTCTCCTTCCCGTCTCGAGCTCAGTAAGTCCTTGTTGCAGGATTATATTCATCATTCTTTATGTTACTGGTGTAAAAGAAAGTCGCAGTCTGCCATCTGGGAGACACAAAGACAAGGAGGTGTCTGAACATGATCAGCAGTCTGCAGATGGAGGGTGTGGGTTCCAGTTTTGACATGCTAATATAGTTCTGTTTGAAACTGGCTCTGAGGCGGCCATAAACCTGTTTGAGACGTTTGGCCACTCCTCCACACTCTCTCGCCCTGCCTCACTCACCTACCTGTCTTGGTAGCAGGAGCAAAGTTCACACTACCGGAAACCAAGATAATGACAGACGATGAGCGCCTTTGTTGAATACTTCAAGGGGCAGCCTTAACTGCAAGGATGTTAAGACAGCCTGGGAATTCACACAATCCGAGCGTCTGTTGATGAAGCAGTTACTGATTGATTGAAGGATTGAAGTAAATATGAATAATTATAACACAAATATTTGATTGAAAAGCAACTTTCAAAAAATCAGAGGACACAGTTAAAAGAGTTTTTTTATTATTATAAGTAAGTAAGTAAGTAAGTAATCTTTCTTTATCTACCGCCTTTCACAGACCAGAGTCACAAAGCGGTTTACAATTGTTTATTATTAATTGTCTTATTTTTGGATTATTGTATTGTATTATCTACTATCTAAAATAATAGATCCTGTGTGATGTCTGAAATCTGAGTTATCTTATTTTTTACTTTTTATTCTGCTGTACGAAACATTACACCGCTGGTTGAGGTGTGGGGTGACTGTGGGGTATAGGTTTGAGTAGATATACAGTATATGATTCCTTTAGCCACAGATCAATCACAACATCCAGAAATGAAGATTAAATTTAAAGGTCTAGTATGCAACCTAATTATTTATAAAAGTGTGGAAAACCTCTTTGACTGCATGAATAATCTGACTCATGCAAAAAATATTCCCATAATTCTCACATAACTGCCTCACAAGAGTAAGCATTTTTATTTTGTCATTTGATGTGAATGTCATGTTTGCAAATGAATTAATTGCAGGATAGTGGACCGTAACATGTAATTGTTAATACACTGTAAGCACTTTTCTTTTGTGCCTGTCAAGCAGTTTGGGCAGCGGGTGTTGTTGTAAATGTGCTCTACAATTTAAATCTGACAATGACATTAAAAAAAAATTACTGCTTTATACGTGTGGACTATGTGCACACAATAGATACACATTTAACAGTGCAGGAAAGTGATAGTCGCATAAAGTGATAGTAGCATAAAGTGATAGTAGCATAAAGTGATAGTAGCATAAAGTGATAGTAGCATAAAGTGACGGTCATAAAGGCAGGGGACAGAGATCAGTTATGACGGGAGGCTCTGGTCCGAATGGCTTTTTTCACTTGCACGACTGCTGTAACAGTTGGATCGTGCCCACTGCATGCACAAGCACCCGCACCCTTGAGCACAGGGCCTCACAAAAAGACCCTCAGGCTGACCTTCAGCCTGCCTGGTGGGCAGCCATCTGTGTTCAAGCAATCATGCCAGGGCAAAACCCGGGAATGTCTTTTTACCCCACGAAGTATATCCTTGAAAAAATATAATAATTTTTGCTCTAACCTTTCTATGCATTGCATCAGCTGCAAGCTTTGTTTTGTATACATCTGAAGGATTACTTAAAGTATGAGGGACACACCAGCGATGATCACCCATTTGCCCCACCATAACTCGTGTTACAGACTAATTGCGTTCTATATGCTACATGCTATCCTAACATTCAGCCGAGGGTCATTCAGTCATACAGGTTCAGTACAGCAGAGAGACAAAATGTTCAGTACAGCAGAGAGACAAAAGCCTGCAGTGAAGACTTGAAGCTGGCAATGCATAACAGTTCCATGCGCTCCTTCACCAGCGTTTATTTAATTACAGTATATTATAAATACTGTAAATGTAACCCAACTGGTTCTGGTTGCGATGCGCACACATGCTCATAGGCTCATTCACCTATTGGCTGCACTGAAGAGGTTGTACAGCCAGAACAAAGCCAACAATCCGACGCCATAAAGCCTAATGCAAAACCTGTGGACATGACCGATGCACTATTGAATAAAAACATAAATGACTTAATCACACAGCAAATTTGTATATGAATCATAATGAATGTATGCCACATAAAAAGGTTTAAGATTTTTAACTAGAGCTAAGGTGGCGAACCCAAAGCTTTAGAGATGCATCAGATTTTATGGAAATATTTGTAAATGATCACAATTTAACACCTGCACACCTTCTCTTCTCAGCGTCTGTAAGAACACTGACTGATCTGTTTGTGGAGTTTGTCATTCAGAACGTGTCCGTGCAGCACCTGAGGCACCGCTGCAGCAGAGCAACGGCTGAGGGCTTCAGTAATGTTAGATTCATTTTTTCTTGGGGGGACCCCAGTTCGCCTACGCAGATCCCCTACTGTGCAATACCATAATGCTTTGAGGCTTGGGGGTCACATGCCATCAATCTAAGGCAAGAAGAGGCCGTCATTAGCTTTCTTAAACCTTCAGAGAAGTTAACTTAAACCAAAGCTTAATAATCTATTTACATTATTGATTGATTTTGTAAAGATAGGAAGGGGAAATGCTCTCAACCAGCAGGTGGTGAACATTGTTATTTTTTAGTGCATAGTGTAGATTTTTTGTTATTTTGTGCTTTGGTTTTATTTTGTCATCAGTTCTCTGTGCTTTGGGTATAGTTTGATTTCCTGTCTTGTTCCCGTGTTGATTGTCTGACCCGCCCTGTTGTGTTTCACCTGTGTCCTTTTTGTTAGTGTCAGACAAAAAGGACAGTGGCTGAGTGGATAGCACTCTCGCCTCTCAGCAAGAAGGTCCTGGGTTCGAATCCCGGTTGGCCCAGGGCCTTTCTGAGTGGAGTTTGCATGTTCTCCCTGTGTCTGCGTAGGTTTCCTCCGGGTGCTCCGGTTTCCCCTACCACTAAAAATATGTACAATAGGTCTGGCATGTGCCTCCTGTACTGGCACCCCCACTCCCAAAAATCACAATTGTAAACCGCTTTGAGACTCCGATGTGCAGTGAAAAGGCGGTATATAAATAAAGATTACTTACTTACTGTGGTGATGATCCAGGACACTGTAACATTCTACAACATGTATGGACATTTATCAACATCCATCCATCAATCCATTTTCTTCCCCTTAATCCATTTCTGGGTCTGGGGGGTGGCAGTCAGAGCTGCACTCACAGAGCACCAGCCCCTCACTGATCCTCCTGCAGGTGGTGAGTCCACAGGAGCTGAGATCTTTCAGTGGGGGCTTCAGGCAAAGTGGGGTTAAGTGTCTTGCCCAAGGACACAATGACAGCAAACATCAGTGGGAGTTGTGAAGTAGCTCTTAAGGTGGGCTCAAACCCATAACCTTCAGGCCCAAAGGCTAAAATTATTGCGTTAACTCACGTTAATTACATTTTTCATTAACGCGTTTTTTTTTTTTTAACGCATTAACGC